TCTACGAGTCTTACTCCCCCTGAATATAATATTCGCTCATGCATTATCACCTATCAAAAACTTGGAGTGACCATTACTATAATACCCAGAGTTAGTAGTACATGCTTTAAAAAAAGTATAAGCCCTATGACACCTTAAATCAGATTTCCTTACCCAAACACGTCTAGAAAATTTATTTTGCACATCAATCTTTCCTTTAGGTGTCCTTGTGAATATGGAATTCGGTGGATTAATGATCATACCTCTTTGTAAAGCATTCAAGTATTTGTAACATCTTCGTCTTATATGGCCAGCTAAACCGCAGTAATGACATATGAGAACAAACTTTTTACGTCGTGGGGGTAAGATAATACCTTTCTTACTGATGATAGTCTAAGATTTAGGAGCGGGTGTCTCCTTCACAAACACTATCTTGGATGTTGAACACTCACCAGTGTAGCCAAGTCCATGATGATCACAACTAGCTTTTCCCATAGAGAGAATATGATCAAGTTTGGTGGTGCCGGAATTCATTATTTTAAGTGACTTTTGAGTGCGCTCTAATTCTACCCTTGTGTCATGCAACTTTTTCTCATTTTCAGCAGCTTGAAATTCATAGTTTACAGCAGCCCTCTTAAGCACATCATTCTCTTTAACAAGTTCATCAATTCACTCTCGTAGATACGTATTCATTTCACACACTTTAACCCATTTGCTGAACATGGTCTTATAAGCTTCCTGTATGTTATCAATAGTCAACTTTTCGCCATCACTGTTACTCTCAGAATCTGAAAAATCTCCTTTAGTTTCGCTGTTCACGGATTCTGTTTCAGCATTTGTTGTAACACTGTCTGCAACACCTTTTGTAATACTGTCTCTAAAAACACCTTGATCAGTATAAACATTGAAAGCAATGTAGTTACTCACATGGTCTTCATCCTCCTGTCTGCCTTCAAAGTCTTCATCACTCCACGTCGCATTCAGAGACTTCTTCTTCTTCTTTAGAGTGTTGGCACACTCGGATTGAATGTGGCCGTAACTGTCGCATTCCCAGAATTGAATACCCCTATTTTTTGTCTTCAATTCTGTGTTATTTGCTGCAGATTTACTCTTTTAAAAATTGTTGGAGTTTCCATTTCTTGAATTCTCATTCTTCCTATTGACCTTCTTCATCACCTTATTGAATTTCTTCGACAACCTTGTTATGGACTAGGCCAAGTCTTCTTCATCATCAGAATCAACTTCGACTTGAAAGGCAATGTTTTTCTCCTTCTTTCCTTCCTTATTTTCATCCAGATTCATCTCAAAAGTGCGCAAAGAACCTATTAGCTCATCAAGTTTCATTGTTTGGACATCCTTAGCTTCCTCGATAGCTGTCACTTTGTAAGTAAACCTCTGTGGAAGAGACCTCAAGGCCTCCTCACAAGCTTCTCCTCTCCAAGGGCAAATGCCTCATTAGTAATACCGCACAATTTTGAATTAAACTCAGAAATTGTTTCATCTTCTTGCATTCGAAGGTTCTCAAACCTTGTAGTGAGGATTTGAAGTTTTGAGAGCCTCACGGCAACTATACCTTTATGTGTCGTTTGCAATGTCTCCCATGCATTCTTGGTCGTTTCACACGTTGAAATGAGCTTTAATTGGTTCGTATCTGCCCCGTTAAAGATAGCATTCAGCGCTTTAGAATTGTTGTTTGCCAACTTGTCCCCTTCAGTTGACCAAGTAGTTTCGGGCTTTAATATCTCCTTCCCTTCAGAATCATGTGTAACTGGATGCTCCCAACCAGTCAAGACAGCTCTCCATCCCTTTTCATCAATAGCTTTGATGAACGCCTTCATACGCGCTTTCCAATATGAGTAGTTGGAACTGTCTATGAGGGGAGGGCGCGAAATTGAACCACCTTCTTTCAAAAAATCCATCCCTGACAATACAGATCAAATCCCAAAACTCAAACAAACGGTTAGTGAACCGCT